AGATTAGATAGATTAGATAGATTAGATAGATTAGATAGATTAGATAGATTAGATAGATTAGATAGATTAGATAGATTAGATAGATTAGATAGATTAGATAGATTAGATAGATTAGATAGATTAGATAGATAGATAGATTAGATTAGATAGATTAGATAGATTAGATAGATTAGATAGATTAGATAGATTAGATAGATTAGATAGATTAGATAGATTAGATAGATTAGGTAGATTAGATAGATTAGATAGATTAGATAGATTAGATAGATTGGATAGATTGGATAGATTGGATAGATTGGATAGATTAGATAGATTAGATAGATTAGATAGATTAGATAGATTAGATAGATTAGATAGATTAGATAGATTAGATAGATCAGATAGATTAGATAGATTAGATAGATTAGATAGATAGATAGGATAGGATAAGATAAGATAAGATAAGATAAGATAGATAGGTAGATAGGGTTAGATTAGATTAGATTATATTAGATTAGATTAGATTAGGTTAGGATAGATAGATAGATAGATAGGTAGATAGATAGATAGGTAGATAGATTAGATTAGATTAGATTGGATTCGATTAGATTAGATTAGGTTAGATTAGATTAGATTAGATAGATAGGTAGGTAGGTAGATAGGTAGATAGGTAAGGTAGATAGATAGACAGACAACTACAACAACAACTACAACAACAACTACTACTACTACTGCTACTACTACTACTACTACGACTACTGCTGCCACTAAATCTACAACTACAATTACAACTACACTACATTTGCACTACATTACACTAATTACACTGCAGCACACTGCCACTACAAAAATTTGCATGCAACTACAGCTACTACACTACAATAATTACGTTACATTACACTACATCTACAACTGCAACTGCAACTACAATTACAACTACCACTACATTGCACTACGCTACGCTACACTAATGACAATACACTACAGCTACAACTACACTAGTTTACACTACACTACACTAGGCTACACTACACTATACCACACTAAAGTACACAACACTACAGTACACTACACTACAGTTTGCTACACTAATTACACCACACCACAACACAGCTGCAAACTTCAACTGCAACTACACTACACTAATTGCATCACATTAGAACTACAACTTACAACTACTGCAACTCCACTACACCACACTACAACTACAACTACAACTACAACTGCACTACGCCACACTACATCCAGCAGTTGTGGTGAGGTGACCACTGCAACCATTGCAACCACTCCAAAAAACACAGCTCCAACCACCTGTCGGTCCATCAGTGGATTCGCTCTGCCATCCGTGATTCACAACAACAAGCCTCTCCTATAGGTTTCTTGTTTTTGAAACTTCCGCCACCGCCTTGTGCGGTACTACTGGTATACACGTGTATATATATATGTAAACATATGGGTATGTGTATATATATATATATGTATAAATATAATGTATATACATATAATATGGATATGTATATATATGATACATAAACATGTACAGACGCACACGCACAAAAACGTAGGGGGGTGGATGCACTTCATAATATTCACACAGAGGCGAGCGTTTGATCCGGAATCTATAAATATATACATACATATATATATCTATATATATATATTTACATACGTATATTTATACATACATATATTTATATATAGCAGCATATATATTTTTATATATATACGGTAACTACATTTAAATATACGGACTTTTAAATATACGAACTGATATTTTAGACTACCTCCGGGAAGGTTTTCCTTGGCCTGCCCGGCCATTTAAACATACGGAATCCAATTCATTTGAGCATCCGGTAACTACATTTAAATATATGAACTGGTATTTCATACTACCTCCGGGGCCTCGCGGTCTGGCCCGCCCTCCACATATATTTAAATGTCGTTACCGTGTATATATATATTATTATGTATATGACGGTTTGCCAAAATGTCTTTTCCTGGTTTTGTTTATAAATCGTAATTCCTTGCGTGCCGCTTCTTATTGTGCCTTTAAAACCATGACTGACCTAAGTCTAAAACCCTGCATTTTATCCTTCATGTTTGAAGCCATAGCAAAAACCTGCAGTAAAGCGCGTCTATATGAAGTGGGTGCCGCTGCTAGTTGTTAGTGGTGGAACTGAAATATCTGCAGAGCTGGTCGTTGCCTTTGCTGTCGCTGTTGCTTTGTCAAACAGACAGGATAAACTACAAGTTCTCTGGTGGCGACTGGGTCACGGGTCAACCAAAGCCGTTTTCTGAAACTTTTGCTTGCGCATTGCTAGCGGGGATCTAGCGGGTAAAATTACGTACAAATTCGCAAAGTTGAGCCGCAACCTCAAAAATATAGGAAAATTGTTGAGTAGCACAGAAATTCACTAAGACATCCTTAGGTTTAAGGAGCTAAGTGTTACATCTTGACTTTTCTTCATGTTGAAATGACAAGCAGACAGGAACACAAAAAAATATCTTTGAACATGGGTGTGAAAAAAACTAGCGCAAACCTAGCGGGTTTGCTAGCGCTGCCTTGCAGAATTGGTGAATTTAGTTGCGTACCGCCTCATAACGAAGAGGAAAAACAACTAGGTCCATACTAATTATCAGAAAACTAGTACAAGACTTGTGTCGACTATTTTTGGCAAATGGTCATATATATATATATAATATGTATAAATTAATATGTATGTAAACATTGAATAATTATCTGCATCTTCCACGATGTACTCTTGTTCGTCGTTGCTCCAAGATGCAGAAATTTGAAACTGCAATCGTTCCCGGAAAAAAGCGCCGTTGCAGGAGACATGGGTTGTGGCAGCTACGGGCAAATAACAAAAAGCCCTCGAAACGCAAAAAAACACCGCTGATGTTCATTCAAAACATGGTTTTCGGGAAAAAGCAGAAAAAAGTACCACTTGCAAAGACGCAGGTGTATATCATTATCCGCCGACCCCGGCCTTGGCCAAGGCAGGGGCGGCGCCTGGGACCACCGCAGGTGTGGAACTTCTCCTTCTTCGCTTTCCAAGGTCAAACCCATCTGGCAGCCAGCAAGCTGCCCCAAGGCCACATCGCGTAAACATTTTCCTGGCATGCTTCGTCCTCCAGTTAAGACTTCCAGGCATTTGGACATGAAAATTACATGCTTTGGGCAAGTACGTTTTCTTCCGTAAGGTTTTGTCTGAAGGTTTTGTCTTTCAAGGCCAAAGCAGCCGTTCCCGCGTTCCCGTAGTAGAAGTTCAAATCAATGGGCGTGCAAGCCTGCCGTTTGCCAGCCCTTAAACGCCATCGCTTAAACATTCCCTTGGCATGCTTCATCCTGCAGCCAACAGGCACCCCAAGGCTACACATCAATAGCTTCTTATGGGCGTCCAAGCCTGCCGTTTGCCAGCCCTTAAACCCTTAAAACCCTCCAAACGCTTAAAACCCTTAAAAACCTTAAAACCCTTAAAACGCTTACTTGGCATGCTTCATCCTGCAGCCAACAGCCACCCCAAGGCCACACATCAATGGCTTCTTATGGGCCGCTTAAACAATCCCTTGGCATGCTTCATCCTGCAGCCAACAGGCACCCCAAGGCTACACATCAATAGCTTCTTATGGGCGTCCAAGCCTGCCGTTTGCCAGCCCTTAAACCCTTAAAACCCTCCAAACGCTTAAAACCCTTAAAAACCTTAAAACCCTCAAAACGCTTACTTGGCATGCTTCATCCTGCAGCCAACAGCCACCCCAAGGCCACACATCAATGGCTTCTTATGGGCCGCTTAAACATTCCCTTGGCATGCTTCATCCTGCAGCCAACAGGCACCCCACATCGATCTGTCTATCTATCTACCTTTCTCCCTCTCTCTCTCTCTCTCTCTCTCTCTCTACAGGACCCCACAATAGTGGGGTCGGCGGCACCTGGGCGCTAGCCCATTCTATATACACACCTTGAAACACCTTGACACATTAAATAAAGCCCGCACAAGGCTGGTGGCGGAAGTTACCAGCAACTAGGAATGGCCTGATGGAGCCTCACATCTTCCCATGCTTTTTCTAAATTCGTCCTCACCTCTCCGATGCCATTTTCAAGTGTGGTGCACATTTCTCAGCTCTTTGCAACTCTTCTCAACTCTTCCCAACTCTTCTCAACTCTTTCATCTCTGTTCACCTCTTCTCAGCTCTTGTCACGTCTTCTTAATTCTTCTCAACTCTATGTAAACATGAAGTCTCGCAACCAGCACAAGCGTATAAACATGTGAAAACATGCCAGCATGGAACTTCCAAATCCTGGAAATTTTCTTCGTGATCTTAGGAGTTTGCGAAACGAGGAGAAAATTGACCAAACTCCTTCCACCAAAACTGCTAGAAATTCGCTGTGACCTCCGCGGATTTGGCAGTCTGTGGCAGGCGCTTTTGAGGGTGTAGCTCTTGACATTGCGTTTTTAATGCGCGACAAAACGAAAATATCGCAGGCCAAAAACTACCAACTACAAAAACGACACAAAAAAGCGGAAAAAACCCGAAAAAAAAAACGCAAATCCCGAAAAATCGTACAGCGACATCACTGAAAGTGGAATGTTCCGTGTCCAATTCCTACTTTCTGCAACAATTTTGCTTTCAAATGCAAAACATCCCAAAACCCGTCCACTTGTTGGAAAATGTAATGAAATTCCTAGATCCAAACAAGCCCCTTGAAAAGTGGAAACACCTCGAAATTTCTCGGATTTGGATCCTGCAGGAATAATATATATATATATATACATATTTTGCCTACTCTTTTCAAGTATTCACTAACAGCACAGCGACATGCAGCAAAGAACAGTGCACACATCCCAACTTCTCACATCCCACCTCTTCTCAACTCTTCTCACCTCTTCTCACTTCTTCTGAGCTCCAAAAAAGTGTAATATTGTTTGTGGCAACAAAATTGGCAACTCCGCTGGATCTCAGCCCCAAAGCAACAGCAAGAAGGACTATGAACCAGTTTTTATCATCTGCCAAGGCGCGGATTCCCACGCAAAGGAACAGGCCAGTCGCCGTAAGAGGTCATCTGCCCTTGTGTCTGCCACGGTCTCCTCGGCAGGTGAAAAAATGCCAAGGGGGATGGGAACGGATTAGAATTGTACATTTAACCATAGTTATGGAATTTATTGTTAGATACCTATCTAGTTTTAAATTGGACTTAGATGGTGATCTGGTAAATGATGGATCTAATCTCTGGGTCTTAATTCTGGGGTTCTGTTTTGATAGCATAGTATACTTACTTTGGCTGTCAAGTCTTGAACGTTGACCCATGTCGATCTGCTTGTCTCTGTTGGAATAAACCCACAAAGGGCAGTTCCCCTTTTCTGCATCTGAAATCAAACAAACTGTTTGGTCAATCAGTTTCAGCATTTTGAACCATAGCCAACCATGATTTTACCCTATTTTGCGCCATCAAACATGGCTGGTTCAAAATCCTCTATATATATATATATACATTATATATATATGTATAACATATATGGGAGTCTCCCATATCAAGACCATTTAGTTCGGGGGGTCCCAGCTAGCCACGGTTGGTTTTCCACCAGAGAGTATAGCAGGACCCGCCATCGCGGGTCAATCCTCATGTTTACGTTTACCCTGCGAGCCTTTGGGGTCAAGTTGAGCCAGCTAATTACAACATATAGTTCAATGATATAATTATATAATCATGATATAATGTGATTAATTATAATCACGTCCTTTTGGTGGATCTAGGAATTATGATTAATTATAGCATATTATAGCTAATTCCTTATTTTTTGATGAATCATGATGATAGGGAATTCTGATGATTGATCATCTACAATTCGGCTGATGAATTTCCCAAACATCCACTATATATATATATATAGCTCTCTGAGTTTTAGATCTCTGTCCATCCATCCTTTCCATCACTTCCCAACATGCTTGTCCATGCTCACAGCTAATCATCTTAGATATCCTGCAAAAACAGTTGGTTGAATAATTTTGTACATCCTCATTCATTTCCAAAAAATGCTGTGCGAATTTACATGGCACATCCCATTTGAAACACATGAATGGAACAACCACTGGCTAGAAAATATAAATTCACCAGCCTGAAAGAAGGTATCATGGGATGATTCCCCCTACTCACCAATATTCCAACATGGTATCTCCATTATACCCCCATTATACCTTCAGTATATCCCACCAAAAACCACCAGAGTTGTCGGTTAAATCCCCAGACCGAATGTAGATCCTGTCCAAGGGAACAGCCATGGGTTTCCACAACTCTCCCCAACCTTTCCAGCCAAAATAAGCCTTTCCTTTCCACCATCCCAGCATCCACCAGGCAGTCACCCAGCGCCGTGCAGCTTTTCGAACGCCGCACCGTGGGGAACCAGCAGCTGCTGGGAACCACCTCCAGGAAAGTCTTACGACACCTGGGGATGTGGACCGATCCCCATCTGAAGCCATGGAGAAATCTTGGGAAAATCGTCCGCGGAGAAGATGGGGGAATATCTGGGATGGATGAAATTTGAAAACGTCGATTCGACTGAACAGTTAACCGAGATGGAAATCGCAATCTCTGTGCGCTGCTGATTGCATGCGTACGTAAAGACTAAACCTCATGTCAGCAACCAATCCGAACATATTGCCTGCAAGGGTTTTGAAAATATACAATACTAGTACTATATATAATATACTATAATATACTATGCCTATCTATGCCTGTAGGATTGAATAAATGACGGAAAATATGGCTGAAGAAATGGTTGAATGGCTGAATCTGCCGCTGAAACACTAGGCAAATGTTGCTTTGACCTTGCTCTTCATTGATATGTATATAATATATATATATATATTATATCTTCTCTGAGCTACCATAAGCTATCCCTTATCTTGCCTCAATACCTCTTCTTGAAGCTACATTTTTCCGCACCTTGGTCGGGAGCTACCTCATCTCAGCTATCATCTGTCCACCTTTTTTCTTCTTTGGGTTATCTCTGACTTTTTGGATCTTTTTGGGCTTCCTCTTTTCTCAGCTGTCGCTCTCTCCCCAGCCATCTCTTCATGCACCCACATCTTTTCTAGGCGCTTTCTTCGCCGACCACCTGTTCTTTGGTTTTTCTTCTATTTTTCTTTGAGCTACTCCCTCTCCACTCTAGGCCAGGCACTCAGTTATGCACTGGAAATATCACTCACTTGCGCACTTTCACTCACTTGCGCATTGACACAGCAAACAATCAGCCACCTATCTAGGTCTAGGGTGGGGTGGGGAGTAGACATAGGACCAAGTGGGACTTGGAAATGCGCTTCTCTCTACTACTGAATTTTACAACCTATCGTTACCTTTTAGGGCTTAGGGTGCGGGTAGGTGAGGAAGTGGCAAGGTGAACTTGGACTTTTGACACCTATCACTACCTTTTAGGGTTTAGGGTGGGGGGTGGGAGGAGGAAGTGGACATAGTAGCAAGATGTACTTGGACATGCTCTTCACTCTACTTCTGACTTCTGACAGCTACAGGCTACAACTATCTTTTAGGGTTTAGGGTGGGGGGGGGCAAGCGGACATAGCAGCAAGATGTACTTGGACACGATCTTCTCTTTATATACGTCTGACTTCTGCAACTATCGCTACCTTTTAGGGTTTAGGGTGGCGGGGTTGAGGGGAGGTGGAAGTGGACATACGGGCGTACCTGGACACGCTCTTCACTGTAGTTCTGACTTCTGACAACTACCACTACCTTTTAGGGTTTATGGTGGGTGGGGTGAAGAAGGCCAATAGCGTCGTTCAAGCAAGGATCAGCTATATTATAAAGAGTGTCTTCCCAGGCTGCAAGCACTGTTTTCGTCTATCAGCCAATTTGCCAGTCTGTGCTGCATCGAGTCTACAAAGCTATACCTCTATATCTATATCTCTCTTGAGCCTTAGGAAATGGACATACGGACGTGCTTGGACACGCTCTTCACTCTAGCTCTGGCTTCTGACATCTATCACTCGTTTTATGCTCCCTTTTACGGTTTAGGGTGGGGGAGGGGAAGTGGAAATAGTAGCAAGATGTACTTGGACCTGCCACGTGCAAGCACGGCAGCAAGCACACAGAGCAGCGCCTGCCACTTACTGCAAGTGGCATCATGCGCGTCATTCCTTCCCTACATTAAAGGCACGCACCTGCCACGCCATATTCATATGGGTGTTATAATACTTCAATTCTCAACACCAAGCAAATCCAGTACACAAGCGAGGGCAAAACCCAGTGCAGACAAGCGAAAGAGAGATCCAGTGCACAAGCAGTGCTCGTCCCCTCCCCCGGAGCTATCTTCACCCTCACCTGTCTCTTCCTTATGCTTCTTCAAGCTCGCTCTCCTCTGAGCTACCTCTTCTCTGAGCTCTTTGTCTTGTTTTGCTCGGCAGCCATTTTCATGCGCTTGGCAACACAGCATTGCTCTACTTAGGGCCCTAAAGCAAGCTTGCCGTATAATTAGCCTTTTTTTGTCTAGACTAGATTGTTTAGCAGCCTATCAGCAACGAGCCAAACATGTTTGAGTGACCGCGAAGATTATGGGGGGCGACTCCAAGCATGGCACAGGAACAAAAGGCAACAGCGCACGGAACTACAGCCGCAGCAATCCAGGTACTCCGAGAATGAGGTGTGTGGTGCATTTTTGTTGGTCAAAGCGAGCTCTCACAACAGTCTTGTGCGCATTGTGCGATGCATTATGGTCTTTTGTACATGTTTGCCGCAGCTTTCCCGGACCCAGGCCTGCACATGCAACAACTTACAGGCCCAGCATCCATTAGCAACATCCAGAGAGACCAAACTCGACCAAACATGGATAACACAGTGCCTTGCGTGATACGTTTGCATCCCATCACGCTCGAACAGCGGACGCTGGTGCTCTGCATGTGCTGTGGCCCTCAATATGGGAGATGTAGATTTTATTGCGATATGTTTGGGGCGGCATTTGCGCATACATGGTGGCATGAACTCGCATGAAATGAACTCATAACTCGTGAACTGTATCTTTGGGGCGCATAACAACGAGGTCAGGTGGCTCACACCTCGTGGCCCGACATCACTGCGCAATCATGTTTTGACTGTATGGCATCGTATGGCTCGCGCATATGTTGTTCTTACCCGGCCTGGGAGAGACACTTGTACAGCATCACCTTTCTCTGTCTGTAAATTAATGCGGTAGAAATCTGTAGAATATACAGTGATCTGTATTGCGTTGATACATTAATTAATCATTCATCAATGTTTGTAAATGCACATCCTCTTCGTTCATCCTCTTGTATCCTCTTTGTACATCTTTGTACAGCAATTTGTACATCTCAATCTGATTACCGTAGCTCGCACGAGCCACAGGTGGCCTGCGAGACAAGTGTAATGTTGCCTTCTGGTGGGTCAGAGCGTTGGCAGGCTTGTCTGTGGACTACTGTGAAAGGGGCGTACCACCTAGAAGCTGTCCGCAATATCAAGCATTTATATGATATTCATTTACAGTATATGCAACAAATATGCAAAGCTACCAAACTACGGTTTACCGGTTTACCCAGTTTGTTCCCCACTCGTTGAAAGATAAAACCAAGGCACTCCAAGCTGGACATACTGAGAAGGTAAGCGAAAACTTGCCTGTGAGCCCTTGGAAAAGCGGCTGCGCAGCTGTGTCAATTCTGGATGTTCAACCTCAAGTTCTGATCAAAAGTTTTCCTGCTGCAACTAGTTGGAGGTTGATCCCTTGAAAAATCTCTTCATTTGAAACCCCATAGTATTCAAACCTTAAAAAAACTGAAACTGCGCCAAGCAGCTGATTGTTACGATTACATATCAGTGTTTTCCCTAGACCCGCCAAGCACCCTAGACCCTCCATGTACCCATAAAACCAAGTAAAATTCTCAAATCATAATGGGTATGTTACATAAGATGTTATGATATAGCCTCATTTTTGTAGGTACCCTAGGGCAAATTAACAGTTCGATGTGGAAAACCCGGCTGGTTTCCCGTGCGGAAAATGATCTACCAATGGTGGTTTTCCACATCGAAATGTTAGTTTACCTTAGGGCCTAGGGTACTTGGAGGCTCTAAGTACCAACGCAGGTATAGAAACCCCAAACTGCGACATTTCACCTGCAGCCGCTCGGCCTAAATGTCCAGTGGCGTGTCGAAAAAAAACCAGGCAGCACCTCCACTTTGTTGTGGAAAGTCATGGATTGTCATGGATAGTCAGGGCTTAGGTTTAGACCCTCAATTTGCCAATAACTCTTGCGATAGTCAACAAAATTTGCGGATTTATGCAGATTTGTTTTTTTTTCAAGGGTACGTGAGGCTTCACCGGCATACCCTGGGAAACTATTTTTTTGCACAGTCCGGACACATGTGAAACTTGAAAAAATTAACCTTCAACAAAGACCCAGGATAAGAGAGGTTTAACCAGGAATTTTGTTGGTGTCCCTCGTGGAATATTGGTAAACACTCAATCCACGTCACGATATTTTCACCAAGGCGACTGGTTCTGAAGAAAATTGTGCCCATGATACCCTTGATCATTTTTCAACTAACATGTTGCAGGGCACCCCGGTTTTGACCAAAATACAGAATTTCCGCATACCCATGCCAATGGAAAATCCATGAAATCTCCTAGAAATGGAGGTTTATAGCTAGGAAAATCATCTATAAATGGAGGCCGCAGCCACCACACATGGAACACGCCTCTGAATCCATGAGTCGCAACCACATTCTGTTTGGTTTCAAGATCTTGAAAGCTGCTTGCAAGGTATATAACAGTAGTACCGCACAAAGCGGCGGCGGAAGTTTCAAAAATACGAAACCTATAAGAGAGGTGAGTTGCTGTGAATCATGGATGGCAGAGCGAATCCACTGATGGACCGAAAGGTGGTTGGAATGTCGAGCTGCTGAGTTCTTCCAAAAAAAAACGGCCATCGACCAAAACGTTTCGATATCCACCGGAAGCCCCCGGACCCCGTCTCAATGTTGCTAACCATCGCTTCTCAATGACCTGAGCAAGAATGGTCGTTTTTTTTTCAAGCTCTGCCAAGCACTGCTGTCACACAACATTGAAGTTGGGGGACCAGGGTTGTCTAACTCTCCAAGCCAGACTTCAAGTTGGTTGGCTGTTTTTTTTGAAGAACCCAGACTACTTCCGGG